GCACCCATACAGAGGCTAACGATGGTCTATAACTCCAGTTCCAGGGGCTCCGACACCCTCTTCTAGCCTCTGTGGGCATCACTGCACAACACAGGTGCACTTACATGATGCAGGCATAACACATATACACATAAAATAAAAATAAATAAATTTTTAAAAAAGAAAGGAGGGGCTGGAGCAATGGCTCAGCGGTTAAGAGCACTGACTGCTCTTGCAGAGGACCCGGGTTTGATTCCCAGTACCTACACATGGCTACGAACCATCCTCAACTCCAGTTCCAGGGGAATCCAAAGCCCTCTTTTGACCTCCACGGCAGTGCATGGCCCGGGTGCACTCACATACATGCAGGCAATATACTCATACACATAAAATAAAAATAATAAATGAAATGTATTTTTTTTTAAAAAAAGAAAGGAAAGGTGGAGGGCATGCTAAGAACAACACTTGAGGTTGACCTCTGTCCATACACTCACACACCTACCTGCCTACATACATAGACAGTAAGTTTTCAAGTCTATATAAAGGTTGAAGAACAGTAAAATTCACACATATGCCTCTCTTCTATTGCTGATGAGCTCCTGTAATACATCTGCTTCTTCATCCTCTTTGTTCTTCTCCCTTGAAATATTTGATAGCAGATTGCAAACACAGAACACGTCACTCCTGATACTTTGGCATTTATCTCCTGAGAATGACATCCCTATTCTCTACCTAAATGAATACTGTTTATAAATAAAACCCATATTTAAACGTTCCGATTTGCTACCACTTGAAGTTCTTTTCTAAAAAAACTGAGATTGTTTTTTAATTTTTAAAAACATTACTAATTTATTTGTGTACACGCATGACATGAAACAGTGAATGTGTGGAGGTCAGAGGATGACTCATGGGAGTCCATTTCCCCCTTCCACCATGAGGGTTCTGGGGATTGAACTCAGGTTGTCAGGCTCTACCTACTGAGCCATCTCACTGATGCCATATTTGGGGCTGTTTTTAACCTCAAAAAAAAAATTTCAACAAATGCACATACCATAATATATTTAGTTGTCAATGTCCCTTTTAAAAAAGTTTTATTTAAGCAGGCGTGGTGGTGCATGCCTGTAGTCCCAGCACTTGGTAGGCAGAGGAAGGTGGATCTTTGAGTTCGATCCAGCGTGGTCTACATAGTGAGTTCCAGGTCGGCTGGGACTACAGGGAGACTCTGTCTCAAAAAGACCAAAAAATTTATTTATTTTTATTTTATGGGCATGAGTGTTTTGCCTGCATATATGCAAGTGCACCCATATCATATAATGTCTGTGGAGGCTAGAAGAGGGCATTGGATCCCCTGGAACTGGAGTTAAGAAGGTCTTTAGCTGCCATGTGGGTGCTGGGAACCGAACCTAGGTCCTCTGGAAGATCAGCTAGTACTCTTAACTGCTGCTGAGCCATCTCTCCAGCCCTCAATGTCTCTTTTAATTGTGTGTGTGTGTGTGTGTGTGTGTGTGGTGTGCATATAGAGGTCACAGATTGACACTGGGGTCTTCCTCAATTGCTCTCCACCTTATTTTTTGAGACAGGGTCTCTCACTGAACTTGGAGCTCACTGAATGGCTAAGCTGGCTGGTCAGCAAGCCCAAGATTTCCCTGTCTCCACCTTCCCAGTGCTGGGATTACAGGCCTGTGTGCCATGCCTTGATTTTTTTTAACGTTGGTGCCGGAGATCCAATTCAGCACCTCAAATTCATTTAGCAAGCACTTAACCCACTGAGCCATCTCCCAGACCCCCACCATGCCCCTTAGGTGTTTTTGCCATGACTCCCATGACTCCCTCAGTTGAGCACTTCCTTGCTTTCTGTCTCTAGTAGGAGTCCAGACTCATTTTGTATCTGCTCCTTCCCAGACCCTGAAATCAATGATGTTTCCAATTCAGAGCCCCCTTTAGGTAAGAAACAGCAATTATGAGGAACAATTCTTCTGGTCTTTTCTATGTGCCAGCCTCCAGTGTCTGAAGTCAGCTATCATTTCTGTCCCAAATACCTCCCAAGCTTCCCAGGCCTGAACTTGATTGTCCCAGTTCCTCAAGCCAGTCTTCCTATGATTTAGCTGTGCTTCCCCATGACTCTTCTCTTTCATCTCACTCGTCTCAACTCAGCTGTTGCATCCAGGACCAGAGGACCCCAACCTGGCTATGCACCAGCATCACTGGAGGACTTGACTACTATACAGACTTTGAGGATCTACTCCAGGCTTTATGAATCAACTCTCCAGGGTGGGGAATGAGATTCTGCCTTGTTTTTATGCTTCCTACAAGACATCAATATAACCATTCCAGGGCATACCATGATTTTTTTAAAGACCTGCGGACCCGGAATTAGATATAGAATATCAGAAATGTAGTATGGAGCTAATATTCTTATTATATTTATTTCTTTTTCAATATGATCAAATCAGTGCAAATCCTTTGTGAAGAGAGGTGAAAGCAATCACAAAATTTTTCATTCACGTTGAATTTATGAAAAGCTAAAAAACTTCAAGGTTTTAAGAAGCATATACATATATGTATAAAATCTTTTTTAAAAAACTTTTTTAGAAGAAGCATTTCATTACAACAGCATTGACATATTCAATAACAATTTTCTGAGCTAAGATGCATCTTTTTCAAAATTGGCTGTAAATTTTTAGTTTTACAGTTGAATTGTTACAGTTATACAATATTGTACTCAGGATAAACCCTATAAGATATAAAATTGAATGAGGTTTTAACCTTTAAAAAAAGAAATCTACCTGATGACTTTATATCCATGCTCAGATGCCAAGGAGCTTAGAAAATAACTGACTGTAACTAGTAATAATCAGATATATAGAGATTAGAAACACGTGCAAACATCTTAATGTCAATTGCATTGAAAATGAATTTTTCTGTATGAAACTGTGTATTTTAATACTGAAATGTACAACATCTTTTAATGTTTCACTTGTGTTTCAGAGTAAGGATTGTATTAAATATTAAAATTTACACTGTTCAATTCATTCCAACCTTCATTGGATTTTTTTTTTTTGGTCTTTTCTTTTTTTAATTTTATTTATTATTTTTATTTTATGTGTATGTGTGTATTGCCTGCATGTAGGTAAGTGCACCCATGTCGTGCAATGTCTGTGGAGGTCAGAAGAGGCTGTCGGATCCCCTGGGACTGGAGGGCACAGACAGTTGTTAGCTGCCCTGTGGGTGCTGGGATTCGAACCCGGGTCTTCTGCAAGAACAACCAGTGTTCTTAACCACTGAGCCATTTCTCCAGCCCCTTTTTTGGTCTTTTCAAGACAGGGTCTCCCTGAAACCCCAGCTGGCCTGGCACTCACCGTGTAGACCAGGCTGGCCTTGATCTCACAGAGATCACCTGTTTCTATATCCCAAGTGCTGGGACAACAGGCATGGCTAGGATTTATTTAAAAAAAAAAAAAAACTTTTTATACTTTGTGTCATTATGGGCCAGTGAAATGACTCAGCAGTAAAAATGCTTGCCACCAAGCTCAATGACCTGAGTTTAATGTGGGGAACTCACGTGGTGAAAGAGGAGAACTGACTCCTGCAAGTTATCCTCTGACTTCCACATGTGTGCACACCCATACACACAAGTAAAGAAATTAAAACTTAAACATTTTTAAAATCAACCTTACAAACTGCTTTATGACTATAGTATAAACAAATAATTTTATGTTTGACAAGACTCAGAATCAACCACACATAAAAAGGAATGAATTTTAGTATCTGTATATTACATGTGCTAAAAGGTCAATATTCCAAATATTCAGCTATATTCTTTCAGACTTTCAGAGTAAGACTTGCTGATTTGATTCACAATTTCTGCAAAAGGTATTTCTACTGTAAGTAAAGGAGTTTTCTGAGATTTTGTATTTTTATTGATTGAAGTCAATACATTTTAGGGTTTGATACCTTGAAAAGGAGTGTGATTTTATCATTAACCTAATAAATGCATTATTTCCATTTTATAAATTCCCATAACATAAAATGCAGAGAAAGAGTAACAGAATATACAATGAGAAATTTAATATTAGAAGGATTACAGGGTTTTATAGAAACTGATTGAAAATATCTAAGACAGCCCGGCAGTCTTACTTAAAAAAGAAAATCAGATGATATCCATCTTTACAAATTTGAAAGTATTTTTAGGAATATTCTTCGGTGTTGGTGAAGGTTTTGTTTTTATTTCCATGCTTTGTATTTTTAAAAAGTACTTTCTGGGGTGATATGGCTCAGCAGGTAAAGGTGCTTCCATGCATGCCTGACAACCTGAATTTGACCCCGAAATCCATGTAAAGGGAGGAGAAAATCAACACCACAGAGTTCTCCTCTGACCTTCTCCACATTCAGGCTGTGGCATGCACCCCACTCCATACATGCATCACACACAGACAGATAAGCAAACACATACACATAATAATAATAATAAATAAATAAAACTTAAAATATTTTCTGAGTTCTGGGTGGGTGTGGTGGCACAGGCCTTTAATCCCAGCACTTGGTAGGCAGAGGCAGGCAGAGCTCTGTGAGTTCAAGGCCAGCTGGATCTACTATCAAGTTCCAGGTCAGCTGGGGCTACAAGGAGACCATGTCTCAAAATGACCAAAAAAATTTTTTTTCTGAGTGTCTATAATGAGTCTGTGTTACCTTTTTTTTTTTTTTTTGAGTCTGTGTTACTTTTATAATTAGGAAAATAGTAATTGCTTATAAGTTATAAAAGGAAAGAGAAAAGAATAATGTTTTATGAAACTGTATCTGTCACTGAAAGGAACCCTCAAAATAAAACATAACTTCCACATAGTCAGTAACTTTACAGAGGGTTTTTGTTTAGAGAATGAACACTATTTCTCTTGTGAGTTGTCTCTGAATGCCGTGACTCCTATATAACAGTAATCTTAAAAGGGACACTTTCATGGCCTTTAAAGAGTTTTTCAAGTAAGAAACTTTATACAGAATTATTAAATACTATAAATCCATACCTTGAAGAACGGTGCTCTGGTTTATGTCGTTCGCTGCAATCTGTAAAGAAAGAAGACAGTTACACGTCAAAATGGCCTTTAAAAGTCAGAGAAAAGAAGTTCCCTATTCCAGCTGCCGCACCATTGGTTCTCACAAAGGACTGTTCAAAGTAGCCGTCTTTTCTCCGCTGCAACACTCTTCATTAGAGTTCAGAGGATCTGCCCACCAGGAGGTAGAAAGCAGGTAACACAGGACAGACATAAAACCTTTTGATGACTTGCTAAAATCATCTATTTGGAAAATGTATCATTGCATGTATTAGTTTCTCATTTTAAAAGATCTTTGCTGTGTTAAGCGCTTTGCTTAAACCAAAACAGATTTAGCTAAGGAAGGAAAGTAAGAAAACTGAAAAGCCACAGATTACTCAGCTCAAAAAAATCATTCCATGAATCATCGTTGGCAGAAACTTCTAACAGAATGGGAGGGGGATGGACAACCGGCGCCAACATCTGCAAACGCACTAAGGCCAGAACAGCCTTGTCCTTAACTCCCTCTTACCCAGAACAGGAATGTGACACACAGAACCTTTCCAACTGTCACAACTGGGGGGAAGGAACTAAGGATGAGATTACAGATGCTATTATTCACCCCAAAGTGTACATGGCAACACTTAAAGATGTCAACAGTGCCAAGGGTGAGAAATTCTGTTATGTATAAAGAAATGAGAGTCCAATGACCCAGCTTATTCAAAAGTGATTTTACAAAATGCTATTTATCAACCTGAAAACTCTCCCATGCATGAGAGTCACAAAACACCCAAGTTGCCCATTTGAATCCGAGTAACAATTTTTCCCGGGTATATGCTTCAAAATAAGAAATACATGAAATTGGAGACAGCCTCAGTATTATGAAGAAATTAACATTAGAAAGCAATAAGCCACAACACAACCCTATGCAACAACTTTAAAAGAAAGCCCTGTGGAATACTATCAAAATACACTTTCTTATTATATCATCAGAGTTAATGCTAACGAGAAAATTTAAAGGCAAAGCAACGATTAGATAGGCATTCCCCCTCCCCTTAATTTGATTGCTGGTGGAGGAGCATAGAGAACGGATAAGATTATACACTAAGACTCTGGGAGGAAAGGAATAAGATTTACACACTTAGGAGCATGTATGTACCAGTTTTTTCTGGATGGGTTTATAATAAAAAGAAATTATTTCTTTATTCAATTATTTACTTATCATGTCTACAAGTGTGTGATGTGTATATATGAATTCGGGTATGCACATGCCATGGTGCATGTGAGGAAGTCAGAGGACCACTTTCAGGAATTGGTTCTCGTCTTCCACGGTGGGCTCTGGAGCTTAAACTCAGACCCTCAGGCTGCATGGAAAGCCCTGTCACACGCTTCAGCATTTTACCCGTCTTTACCCACTGAAGCATCTCATCCATTCAAGAATCACCTTTTTGTTGTTGTTGAGACAGGGTCTCCCAGTAGCCCCGGCTGACTTCCATCTCTCAGAGAGTGACCTGCCTCTGCCTCCTGAGTGCTAGGATTAAAGGCATGTGCCACCAACTCAGCTTAAGAAATCCTTTTTTTTAAGTCAAAGAGTGTGTGTACGCTAAGGCATTGTTTTCTGAAAGTAGAAAGATACACTGCACTCCAAGTGCACAAAGCTAGTTTCTAGTTCTAATTTCTATACACTGTTAGTGTTACTGTACCTTTAAAAACTTGTCTTTGTTTATTTGGTTTTACTCCTCCCTTAAGTAAAATAGCAGTTTTCACTTGCTGAGTATTAAGTCATAGGAATACTTAGTATATTTTAAACCTTACAAAAATCATTCCTCTTTGGCTTTTAGTCTGCTTGTTTTGCTAACAAAAGTAATGCTAGAAACTGGATGGAAGCTAATTCTTCTCATATAAGATTCCAACAGCTCTTACCTGTGGCTAACGATGAGCTTTGGTTTTAACTCTTCCCAAAATGTGCTCCAGCTGTGATCCTGATTTCATGCAGTTTTTCTAGTCTTGCACTAGCAAGTTCCCTCACTAATCTTCCTGGTGGTACAACACACAGGAGGAAGGGACAAACAGAGTCAGGAGCATGTAAACAAGCCTCAGCATCCAAGGGCCTCCCTCCAGGGCCTGTTCTGATTGGCAGATGTGCTATGACCAATCTGCACAGCTGGAATGTGGCCACTCGGGAAGCTGATGGTTTGCAGCTCTCCTTCATTCTTGATTCAAACAGTTCAAACAGGAAATTCTGTCGTTGTTTTTTATACTTTCTGCCCTAAGAAAGTATGAATGCCTTCCCACAGTACTCCACTGGCAAATAAAATTCAAGAAAATGTCCTGATTAAACTGCAACACTTAAACATTTTCTGCCAAGTTCACTTAGTCTTATGGATTAGTTTCCTGTGTAAATATGCATACACAGTGTTTACATGTTACAATTTAAGGGTAAGGGTAAATTATCCAAAGCTCACAGTATTCTCGGATTCCCAGCTTCCAACAACTGAAACACATGCCCTCAGCTTGACCATTTCTTCTCAGAGTACACAGAGAAACAGACTTCACATTTTGCCAGTGTCATCTTTTAGCCTGAATACACATAACTATGTGCTGTTAAGTGTCTGTGTATGTGTGGCTGTGGCTCTGTGTCTTCTATTTACACTTTTAAAAATAGTCATACTTTACATGCTGCTATTTTCAGCAAAGTAATTGTCACAATAATGAAGAATATTGTGCAGTTGTCAAGAAATACATTGTGATTATTGTTTCCATCCAAAAGCCAAGACTGAACAAAACAAATCACCAAGGGCCAATTCACACTCTGTTTTTTAGCCAACAATAACGAAACATTTTGGATAAAACCTTTTTAAGAAGAATGTGAACAGATCAACCACAAACATGGAAATTTTACCTTGGCTATACAGTGTTTAAACAGCATGCATTCTACTTATTTCAAATCAAATACTCTCGAATATGTTCCTCTTTTTAAAGAGGGTCTAAGTTTTAGATAATTAGAAAAGAATATACTTGCAGGTTTTTGAACTTTTACATATCTAGCAATGATGTGAATAACGTATTAGCTCAGAGTCTTATCATTTCTATTAAGTTATTAAAAAATCAAAAAATGCTGTAACATTTATCTGTCAAACATTACGTACTACATGTGAACCCCCGAATTCACCAAGCAAAGCATAATGGTTTGGGTCACTCAGAGGCATTCTTTTTGTTGTTGTTCTTTTGGTTTGTTTTTGGTTTTTGGTTTTTGTGAGACAGGGTCTCCCTGTTATCCCAGCTGGCTCAGAATTCGCTATGTAGACCAAGCTGGCTTCTGTCTCACAGAGATCTGCCCGCCTCTGCCTCCCGAGTGCTGGGATTAAAGGTGTGTGCTACCACACCCAGCAGCAGCTGTGCATTGATATGAGTGTAAGCATGATTGGACTACCACAGAGAGTCTACCGGTTTTGTAGCTGTACTGTATCACACACACACACACACACACACACACACACACACACACACACACCTTGCATTCTCTGTCTGATCCATTTATTAACCTCTTAGTTAATAAAGCTGGCTGATAAAATGGAAGCATAGCACAAGCAGAACAAAAGAAAACAAAGCAGAGCCAACGCAAAGTTGTTTACTGTGTCTGTGTGTCTGTGATGCTGTGGGATGATGGGAGGCTTCAATGGAGGAACCCGTGGTACACAAGTGGAACGGGAGAACAGTTGGGGCACTGGTAGGAAGCTACTTAGGTCAGAGACTCTGTGAGAACTTCAGGTTATATACATTTTCCTTTTATGAAAACCTCTGCTTCTGAGAAATTGAGTATATATGGTCCAATATTTATATATTTAGATGTTATAACACGTATCCCCATTCTGATAAGGACAGCCTTTTGGGAATGACTCCACAGATCCTACTGGTACATAATCATTCAGGGTGACTCTGAATCTAATATGACAAATACTTTGAAATGAAGATGACAAAATGCAAATTCATCTTTTGCTTTGGTTAGAACTTAAGAAGAGTGGCGGGCATAGAACTTGGTAGAATCTGTTGTAAGATGTTCAGGCTTTGATGATTTGGCTTTGATCACTTAACTGGAAAGAAAAATCAAACCTCATTGAGTGGAGACCAACTTACTTTACTAACTGAAGTGAGAAGTGAAAGGTCTTAAATTGTCCCTTGAAATTAGGGGAAGATTCCATCGAACACATACAGATAAACGCACAGTACAGCAGTGGAAAAGGAATCTGTCTCCTGCCTTATACTGGAGCATCCAAATGTCTCTTTACGGCAGGAAAAAAATCTTTGCCTTAAATTTATTTTTATTTTATGTGTTAAGAGTGTTATGACTGCATGTATGTGAGTGTACCCCTGTCTTGCAATGTCCACAGAAGGGAGAAGAGGGCCTCGGGTTCCCCTGGAACTGAAGTTATAGAAGTTGTTAGCTGCTACGTGGGTGCTGGGATTTGAACCCACATCTTAGTCAGTGCTCTTAACTGCTGAACCATCTCTCCAGTTTCAGGAAAAAGATCTTTGAAAAGATACTCCCAAACATTAGCATCAAGTTCTAGCTTGGGTGTCTGCATATGTTTGGGTTTAAATGTATTACTTTTTTTTATTATTATTATTATTGTGTGTGATGTATGTGAACACATGCCACAGTGCATATGTGTAGGTCAGAAGACAACTTTCAGAAGTTGGTTCTCTCCTTCCAGGGTGAGAGCTGAGGACTGAGTTCAGCTTGCCAGGCTTGTAGAGCAAGAGCTTTTACCGGCAGAGCCATCTCACTAGCCCTAAAAATTTTTTTTAAGATTCTTACTATGTTGCTTACACTGGTCTCAAATGATCCTCCTACCTCAGCTTCGCAAGTAGGTGGGACTAACAGGTGTGCACATGCCTCCACATCTAGTTTATTATGTTATTTCTAAAACATAAAAACCCTTTGAATAATTTCATATGAATGAAAGGTCCCACATACCTGAGAAACAACTGGTCATGTGCTGGTTGTAATGGACCACATATACAATGAATGGGGTCCTATATGATTAGACTGGAGCTGAAGATTAGAATAGTGTTTAGTGACATCAAACCTCTCATACAGTCATCCTCGTACAACACAGTACTTTCACATTTGTGGATGCTGCCATGGACAAACCTAGTACACTGCCAGCCATGAAAATATAGCACATGTAATTATGTATAATACATAGTACTAGATGTGATAGTAACGACTATATCACTAGTTTAGGTACTTGTTATCCTATAGTACTTTAATCATTATCCTAGAGTGTATTTCTTCAACTTATAACAGAAATTTACTACAAAGCAGCATGCCATGTTTGTTGACCATGG